TCCGCCCCGTCCGTTAGGGGGATTCGGCGATTTGCCACAGCAGCCGGTGCTATGACATCGGCAGAGGGCAGCTTCGCCAGCACTGAAATATTCATGTCCTGAGCGCCTGGCCGAGCTCCGCATTGCTCCTGGGGGTCTGCATGGGGCCAGGGCGGGGAGTGCAGGGACCCCAGCGGCCCACGGTGTGTGTGTGTGTGGGGGGGTAGTGGGGGGCGGCAAGGCTCAGCCCGGCGGGCGGGGGCTGGGCTGGGCGGGAGGTGAGGGAGCGAGCGTCAGGAGGCGGGGTCTGGGTGGCGGGGGCCGAGCGGGGCGGAGGAAGCGAGGGAAAGTTGATCGCGCACTTGAGCAGCAGCGGCGGCTGAGGAGAACTGGGCGCGAGCTGCGAGCGCGATGCTCAGAGAGAAGACGCGTCCGACGGCTGTCGGGCGCTGAGCGGGGCGGGGAGAGGTGGCCGGCCCTGGGCATGGAGCTCGGGGGTGCAGAGCCTCAGGACATTTGGGACGCGCCTCGCGCGCCTGAAGTTGCAGCCGGCAAGAGGCTAGCGGCCAGCGGACGGCCCAAGGGGACCCCGGAGCGGCCCGCGCGCCGCTGATGATCCTTCGCGCCGGCAGCGAGACACGGAGGTGGCCAGCATCCGAGCAGGCGGCCCGTGAGGGCCGATCCGGCGGAGAGCAGAGCCCGAGGCGCGGCGTAGCGCCTCTTCGCACATGCACACGGTACCAAGAGCCGCTCAGCGCCCTTTCCCTCCCCACTTCCCTCGCCTTCACCGCGCAGTTCGCCTGCCACGCGGCGGGAAAGTTGGAGCAGTGGGGTCGCGACCGCAGCCGCCGAACCACTTGTTCCCGGCTCGGCCATCGCCCGCGGCAGGCTCTCTGGGCCTCCTTCCATCCCGGGCCCCTGGCCTGGGTCGCGCACCCCGTTCGGAGCCCGCGGCCAGACGCGCGGCAACTTTGATTCTCGGGAACTCGAATTCCCTCCGCGTTGGCCTGGGGAGGACAGGCACTATACTCCCCACCCCGGTTCTTGGGCTCTCGAACACTCGGGCACTTTGCTCTCCGCGCCTCGGAGAGGATCTGGGTCTGGGATAGGGAGAATTTCGGGGGGTAAAGAGGCCTTTGGGATCCAATCTCGTACCCTTCTGTGCTCTGGATCCCCATTTGGGCAGGGTAATGGGGCGGGACGCACCTCCTCTGCGGGTAGGAATGGCGCTGGAGGGACCTAAAGTCACGTAGCTCTCTCCTACCCTCGTCGCCTCTCACTGCCCGCGAGAGACCGACCCCAGAGGACTCCTGCAACCTTCCCACTTCGGACCAGCTATAGGAAGACGCGTCCCTCGCGGAGCAGGGAGCCTTGTGTGGCTCGCGCTTCGCCTTCCCAGTCCTCTGGCGGGCCCACCACTGGCGGTGCTGGTTGTCCTGGGGCCTGCGCTCGGAAGCGCTGCCCCTCGTCTTCCCTGTAGGTCAGCCCGGGATGCGTGCAGAACCCGCGCATTCCAAGGTGGTGGCGGCGCTAGTAGGCGGGCACTTGGTGCCTTGCTTTCCTGGAGCGGGCACCTAGAGCCGCTGCCTCTGTGCCGCGAGCGGAGAGCCGGTGCCTTGGCCGCTGGCCGCCGCCCCACTGTGATCCCAAAGCCCAGCTCTGGTGCTGTTAACGGCCCATGGGGGGAAATTAGCTTTTCCTGAGTAGTAACACACCACTACCTTCCCAGTAATTGAGAAAGCAGCGCCTGCCTCTTTTATGTACTTTGCCCTCTCAGATCAGAGCAGACACTGACCCTTGCCTTTCAGCCGCTTAGCAAGCACCTCACTCCAATTTGAATTTTGAAATAAGCTGGAGAGGCACAGGAGAACGGGTGTGTGTGTGTGTGTGTGTGTGTGTGTGTGTGTGTGTGTGTGTGGTGGGTGGAGTCAGACCTTAACATAGGGAAGAATTAGGCTGGGCTTGAAGAGCCTCCTTAGAGCCAGGTGTGAGGTGCTGATGAGTCAGCCCATGGTTGAGAGTGCTGGCTTGGAGTTAATGTTTGGTTCATGGTGTAGGGGTAGGCTCACTATGATCAGTACCCTTGGGGGCCAGGGACCAGACGTCACTGTCCAGGAAAGGCTGGGAGGGGGACCCTTAGCTGAGGGAATAGGAATGCTTGATGCTGTTTACCCAGGACTGAGGAAGGTCGGAAAGCAGAGTGCCTGCATGGCAGAGAGCAAGAGCATCCTGTGGCCTGGAAAGGTGGCACTACATAGGTGACTGGTGTGAACCCGAAGGCTCTGTGCTGCGAGGTGGAGAAGAGCCATGAAGGGGTGGGGGGCCCAGAGCTGGCATTCTGGGCTTATCTGGGCTGAGCCCCCATACATGTCTGTCTTGGCCTTATTGACCCCCATAGCTGGGCTCTTCACATCTGCTTACCAAAGGTCTTAATTTGAGGGTTATGCTGGCAGATGGTCCTAGTTGCCTTCCAGATAGCTCCCCAGCCCAACGAGCTATCTTACCTGCACTCTCACCATTTGAAGTTCATTTCTTTGAGTGTAATATTTTAAAGGGCACCTTTCTGAAGTTCTAATTTAAAATGCACATACTTATGGAAGGTGAAGGTCTAGTGGGGCCTTGCTCTGTGAGTGTGGCCTGTGGACATACAGAATTAGCAGCACCCGGAAGCTGGTTGGAAAGGCAGACTCTCACGCCCCACCTCAGACCTCTAGGATCAGAATCTGTATTCAACAAGATCCTTGAGTAATTTGCTCAGTAAATATTTGGAAGCCCTGGTCTACAGTACCTTCTAGAGAATGAGCATTTCACAGCTTCTTGGTGTGGACAGGGTGTTGAACAGGGCAGTGGATAAGAATGGAAGGATGAGAATGCAGCTGGAGCTTTCTTTCCTGGACAGTTATGCTAGGGCTGGTTAACAGTCCTCTGCTGTCAACCCTTGGGGCTATCCCTGGCTAATGTCAGGAGGTGTTTTTGTTTTGGGGACCTTTAAACAAATTCAAGTAGCAGCTCAGCTTTCTGTGTAATTAAAATATTGTGGT